AAAACTTCCAGACCCTAATCCCACCTGGCAGACTGAACAGAGCCAGGCTTTTCCTGCTTCCCCCTCCCTGATTTCTCCCCCAAACACTCCCCCCTTCCACACCCTAAAGCCCCCATATATAAAGTTCCAGCTCACAACCCATGGGCTGACATCTTTCCCTGACATCTTTCCCTTCCCTTCCCTTCCCTTCCCTTCCCTTCCCTGACATCTTTCCCTTCACTGACGTCTTTCCCTTCCCCGAGGGAAAGGTGCCCGGTGTGAAATAAATCTGTATCCCACTGAGAATTCCATCTGTGCCTCGGTGCCTCATCCATCCACTCGTGCTCTCCATCTGTGCGCTCGCTCTCTCCCGCTCTCTACCTATCAGTATGTACATCAACTGTTCATCATTTTAAGACTTTTCATGTAAAATTAAATGAAAACTTGATCTCTTTAAAAATACTTTGACTTCATAGCAGCACTACAATGTTGGGAAGGTCCTGTTTCCACACATTCATAGACATATGCATTATCATACTTTTTAATCTTTCCTAATAATAGAAGGAAAAAATGGGCACCAAGGGACGTCTGGGTACAGTGCTTGACTGGATAGGTCTTAACATATATGACAGAATGCATGAAATCTGGTGGGGGGCTATGAGGGGTGCAGATGGGGGAGGGGGTCTAAATTTGATTAAGATCTATTATATGAAATCCAAAAATCTCGGGGCTAGAGAGTTGGCTCAGCAGTTAAGAGCACTGACTGCTCTTGCAGAGGACCTGGGTTCAATTCCCAGTACCACATGGCAGCTATGAACCATCCTTAATTCCAGTTCCAGGGGAGTCTGAAGCCCTTTTCTGACCTCCGTCGCATTGCACGACATGGGTGCACTCACATACATGCAGGCAATACACTCATACACATAAAATAAGAATAATAAATAAAGCATTAAAAAAAGGAAACGCAAACAACTCAATAAAAATATACATAAAAATGGTGACTCCATCATTTTAATTCCAGATTTATTTACTATGAATGAGGTTATGCATATGGGCTGTAGAGATGATTATTTTTATGTTTTCTTCATATCTTCTACCCTTTTCTTTTTTATGAGGGTTCTTTAATGTAGCAATGACAGATACCAGCCTACTGTGTATAGTCTGTGCCACGAATGTATTTTCTATAATTTGTTACTCATCAGGAAGAACTAGAAAGGAAAGTAGCTGAACAAGCCCGGGGAAGCAAGCCTGCAAGCAGCGCTCCCGCCTTGGCTTTCCTGGAAGGTGGACCGTAGCCTGAAGATCAACCTTTCTTCTCCAAGGTGGTTTAGTCAGTGTTTTATCGCAGCAACAGAGGGGCAAACAAGAACACTGATCATGCAGGAGAATATCTTGGATCTTCAGGTACCAAAGATTTTGTAAACAAAGATCTCCAGGGGACTAGAGAGATGGTTAGGTGGTTAAGAGCACTGGTTGTTCTTGCAAAAGACCCGGGTTCAAATCCCAGCACCCACATGGTAGCTAACAACTGTTTGTAACTCCAGTTCCAGGGGATCTGATAGCCTCTTCTATCCTCTACTGGAATTGCACAACACAGGTGCACTTACACACATGCAGGCAATACACTCATACAAATAAAAGAAAATAATAAATAAATCAAGATCCCCAAGTCATTCATCAAGAAAAATTGATTATATTAAGATAAAGCTTGGATTCAACAAAAGAGGTATACAGAGGGAGGCTGCAGGCTGCAGAGATGGCGTCTCTGGTTCACATGCTTGTACAGAAACCCAAAAGAAACACCAACAGAACTTTGAACAAATACTTTATAAAAACTCAAATGTCGCAGCCGGGCATGGTGGCGCACGCCCTTAATCCCAGCTCTCGGGAGGCAGAGGCAGGTGGATCTCTGTGAGTTCAAGGCCAGCCTGGTCTACATAGTGAATCCAGGACAGCTGGGGCTACAGGGAGACCCTGTCTCATAAAGACCAAAAAAAAAAAAAAAAAAAAAAAAAAAAAAAAACCAAACCAAACCAAACAAACCAACAAAACTAAACTAAACTAAAATGTCAAATAAACACATAAGAACTCAATCTCAAACTAGGAAAACAAATTGAAAAATGTACACTACACCTTCAAGAGCTGGCAAGATGGTTCATCAGGTGAAAACACTTGGAGAGCAAGACTAACGACCCGAGTTCAAACCCTGGAACCTACGTAAAGAAGGCAGGTGAGTTAGCACACATCTGTAATCCCAGCACTTCTAGGGTAAGATGGGAGGAAGTGGCAGAAGCTTGTGGGCCAGCTAGCCTGGAGCACACAGAATAGCAAAAACAAGAGAGACGCTACCTGAACAAGATAGGAAAGAACTGATTCCCAAAAGTCGTCCTTTGACCTCTATGCATGTGCCATGGCATGTGTGCACCCACACTCACACATGTCATACTCATACAATAATAATAATAATAATAATAATAAAGGTTTCAAGACATTATCACTGTGCATTTATACTAGATTAGCAAAAAAATTAAAGTGTGACAGTTCTAAGAACTGGTGAGGTGTAGGGCAATGCTGACCTACGGCAATGTACAGTGCTGGCAAAAACACTAGCCTCAGTAAATGCATGTGTGGTAACCATAGCTCAATGATCCCACTTGCCCTTTCCTCCTAGAGAAACACGGTTATGGACATTAGCATGGGCACACATATCAGGGTTCTCTAAGAAGCTGAAACATAGGCGGGGTGTGGTGGCCCACGCCTTTAATCCCAGCGCTCGGGAGGCAGAGGCAGGCGGATCTCTGTGAGTTTGAGGCCAGCCTGGTCTAGATAGTGAGTTCCAGGACAGCTGGGGCTACAGGGAGACCCTGTCTCAAAAAGACCAAAAAAAAAAAAAAGTCAAAACATTTTCTGGCAACACTCACTGGTTATAATACTCAGAAAACAATCTTTAATCATGAGTTGGCCATGTTGGAAATAATGGCTCTGATACTGAGTTCAAAATCAGTGCTTCTTCGATAAAAGTTGCTTGTGTACCCAGAGTGCTCAGCTTATGAAATCGCTGTCCTTCAGTCTGCATTTCTAAGACCAGAGAAACGTCATCTTCAGAGATGTTAGCAGACATATAAAAATTAAGCAGCATGGAAAAAAATATGAAAGAATGATAACCTGAGAGCCAAATGCCTCCTATCATCGATGGGTCAATACAGGTCAACAGGAAATAAATCACAATAAGCTTTTGTCACTATAGTAACACCAAAAAGAAATTCTAGATTAAGCTTGAATAAACTGCCTATTTTCTAGTGAACACCTACTTTTTCCTCCCATTAAACCAGTTCAGTGTCTCGATCCCTTCACATTCTCACTGTGACACTGACGACAGGGTGACATCTCTCAGACCCAGGATGACCCTGAACTTCTGATTGGAGCGCCCTGAACCCCATATGTCGTGGAGGATGACCCTGAACTTCTGATCCTCTTGTCTCTTACCTCCTAGTACGGGGATTACAGGTATGTACCACTCCTAGTTTATGTTGTACCGAGAATCGAACCCAGGGCTTCATGCATGTTAGGCAAGCACTCCATCAACTGAGCTACATCCCCAGCCCCTGACTGTTGACATCTAGAACCCTGCATAGGGCCTTAGAGACAGAAACTCTCTAATACACATTTACAAAATTGAACCGAAATTGAAAGAATACGTTACTTTCCATGATGGTTCGTTTGGAAAATCATGTTTCAGAAAATGAAGGTGAATCTGTGCCCTCCCATGAATTGACCCTTTGTGCATCTGACATTGATTCAACCAGCAATACTGAATATATCTTTTGGGGATAAATAAGTCTAGCTATACACAACTTAGGCAGGAAAATTGGGTTTTGACTCAGATCATTGAAATTCAGTAAGTGCTAAAAATGTCTAAATAAGGATTTTAACAGATTGTGTTACTATCAACCCTTTTTGTTTACAGATTGGTAGTGTACAGTCCCATCTGCAACAGAGAAATGACTGAGCTCTGTTCCTATTTGACAGAAAAAGTTGAAAGAAGAAAGTTAACAAATAGCTCACCTAGTCCCCTCATCCGTGAGTCAGATCATGATTTTTTTAAAAAAATATTAAATTCAAACATTTATTTTTTAATATTTTATTTTTATTTTATGTGTATGCCTGTATTGCCTGCATGTAGGTAAGTGCACCTGTGTCGTGCAATGACGGTGGAGGACAGAAGAGGCTGTCAGATCCCCTAGGACTAGAGTTATGGACAGTTGTTAGCTGCATGTAGGTGCTGGGAATTGAACTCGGGTCCTCTGTAAGAGCAGTCAGTGCTCTTAACTGCAGAGCCATCTCTCCAGCCCCAGAGCATGAATTTTAATACTGAGAATTCCAATTCAGTTATTCCCGACCCCAGCTGTGACCCTGCAGGGGAGGATGTGCCCACGAGCGTTACCTTGACATTCTCCTCCTGAAGTAGGCTATTGTGCTGCTTCAAGTCCAAGTTCTTCCCTCGCTCGTACTGCAGCTCTTTTTCAGCTGAGTTGCAGAGAACTTGGAGGCGGTGCAAATTCTGGCGCAACTGCTGTACTTCCTCTTGAGGCTGCTGTTTTAGTTTTTCTCCAGATGACAGATACTGAAGCGAACATTTCAAAAGAGAAACAAACTTGAACAAATACTGGTGACATGTGAGCTCAAGCTGTCTGAAGCTGTGAGAATGTGAGTGCTGTCGGGCAAAGGTTTCTGGAGTTGGTTTAACCTGTAACAGAAGATGCTTTCACACCTATGGCTACTTGGTAATACTCCTGTAATTCAACAATTTTGATAGGAGTGAAAATGCCAGGAAAATTATGGGCAGAGAAGCAGCTGGGCAGAAACAATTTTATTTTTCATATCAATGAAGGGCAAGAGATTATTTTAGAGTAAAACACCCCTTTCTGAGTTTCAGAACTACAGAATTCCTGATGAATTAAAATAATCCAGAATTGGTATTACTTTATAGGATTTTAAACATTTAAACTTTTAATTTTAATTTTCACTACAATTTCTTTCTCTTTTCTTTCCCTTTGTCCCTCCCTTCCTCCCTCCCTCCTTCCTTGCTGCCTGCCTGCCTATGTGTGTGGGTACATACATGATACATGTGTGGAGGTCAGAAGATAACTTGCAGGAGGTGGTTCTCTCCTTCTACCATGTGGGTCCTTGGGCTCAAACTCAGGTTGTCAGGCTTGGCAGCAAGTGCTCTTACCCACTGAGATATCTTGCAGGCCCATTTTTTTAATTTTAATAAGATAGAAATTAAATACAACCAAGTTCAAATGCTCTTTCAATGATAAGAACCTTCCTATTGGCGGGGCGTGGTGGCACATGCTTTTCATCCTAGCACTCAGGAGGCAGAGGCTACTGGATCTCTGTGAGTTCAAGGCCAGCCTGGTCTACGTAGTGAGTTCCAGCCAGCCAGGGCTACATAATGAGCCCCTGTCTAAAAAAATCACTGGTATTGTGGAGGCAGAGGACTTCTGGCTTTAAACATTCACATCTGGGAGCTGCAGGTGGGAGGGGCAGCAGATGCTGGTGCTGTTCTACATCCAAATCATCAAGCTCAGTCCTTCATGCTCATCAGTCAAACAGCCTTCAGAACGTGAATTCTTTCTTAGCTCTCTACAGGAACAAAATGCATTGTCCATTTGAATGTGTTCATGTGTTATTACAAATTATTTCACAAAAAATTACTTGGTATTCTGGTTTTATCCCAAAGCCTTGAAAAATCTGATTAATTTCAGCTCATCCCTAAGACATAGATTTTATTCTAGGTTGGCTAAAGCATCCAGTCTGTGGGGGGCTGTCAAACCTGGAAAAAAAATCACCAATATAATGATGATGCCTTAGGAGGGCTTTGGGAACCAGCCTGCTCCCCTTCCTTAGGGAGGCTTGATGTGAGAACTGTTTAAATGGCTTAGTTATTTAGTCTGCATGTACGTGTATAGGCGTGCAAGTATTGAGGTCAGAGGACAACTTGTGGGAGTCGCTGTGTTCTTCCACTGTGTGGGTCCCAGGGATTGAGCTCAAGTCATCAGGCTCAGCTGCAGGTGCGTGTGCTCGCTGAGCTGTCTTATTAGCCCTCTTTGAATTGTTTAGCGAATGGAAGCAAATGATGCAGCCATTGAGGATCAAGTTCTAGCAGGGTGACACCAGGGTCTCACCACCTCCTCAATGTGGGTGCCTAATGTCCACAGTGTTCTAAAGCCTCGGTTTCTCCACCTACAGCAGTGATTCTATCCCTGTCTCACTGGTGGCTTAATACAAACGGGGTATTCAGTGCAGCACCTAGAGCATAACACAGTACTTACAATGTTAGCGAAAAACAGGAAATGAGTTTTAATCCTGAAAAATTAGATGGGAAAGTCATGACTAGATTTTGGCTATCTGGCAACATCACTTGGAGTAGTGTTAAACAGACCATCAGTAGCCACAAGTGATGTTACAAAATACCTGTGACTGATACATTCACATACTTACTCAGGACAGAGGTTCTCTCAGCCCTTTTTGTCTCTATTTACTATTTATAAGCTTTTTTTTTGTCTTTTTGAGACAGGGTCTTCCTGTAGCCCCAGCTAGCCTGGAACTCACTATGTAGACCAGGCTGGCCTTGAACTTACAGAGATCTGCCTGCCTCTGCCTCCCGAGTGCTGGGGCTGAGGGTGTGCACCACCACTCCCAGTTTATAAGCATTCTTTTTTAAAAAAAAATTTTATTTATTACTTTAATTTTTTTATGTGTATGAGTATATTGCCTGCATGTATATGAGTGCACCTATGTCATGCAATGCTGCGGAGGTCAGAAGAGGGCTACGGATTCCCCTGGAACTGGAGTTAAGGATGGGTCATAGCCACCATGTGGGTGCTGGGAATCAAACCCGGGTCCTCTGCAAGAGCAGTCAGTGCTCTTAACCACTGAGGCATTTCTCCAGCCCCTATAAGCATTCTTAAAAGTCTGGCATCTGGCTCAGTCTATAGTTGCCTAAATTTGTACCATTATCAAGAATAAGGCGATACAGCACAGAACTAGATACCACCATTTGGCAAGGGTAAAGACCAGAAAGGTACACACACACACACACACACACACACACTCACACACATGTTCACACACATGCACATACGCACATGTGCACACACACATGTGAAGAGCAGCACAATTTGTAGACATTGTTTGTTCAGAGGACCCTAGACACACAGAGTTCTGAAACCATCACTGCATGGGTCGGGCCATGAAAAACATCTGTCCAAGCTGTATTCTCTTCTCTGCCTTCTTAAAGAAATGAAACCTCATGTGCAAAGGTTGATTTGGGGAAGATAAAGTTCAAAATACAAGTAAGTTATTTTTCCCTATGAGGTCCACGTCTGTCTTTTTTCTTTCTTCTTTTTTTTTATAATATAGAAAGAATGGTTTTCTTTCAATAAACATTGCTAGTACAACATTCACACATAAATGAAATGGAGCCCTTCCTTACAGCATTCACAGACAGTAACTGAGAATGGATCACAGATTTTATTGTAAAAGCTAAAGCAAAGTAAATAGCGTCAGAAGAGCTCTTAGAATAAAGACTTCTTGTTGGTTATTTAGACATAGCCATGAAAGTAGTCTAAAATTTTGGTAAATGTGGTGAAGTGGTGTCTAGGGAGATGGTTCAGCAGCTAAAGTGCTTGCTGAGCCAGCAAGATCAGAGTTATAGCTCCAGAACCCACATCAAATGCCAGGTAGATGGACATGGCAGCTCACCCATAATTCCAGCCTTGGGATCTTTAGAGCAAGCTGGCAAGTGAGACTAGCCATATCGGTGAGCTCAGGATTTGATTGAGAGACCCTGCCTCAATTGAAGCAGGGAGATTCCTGACATCGACCTTGGGTCTCCATGCATGTATGCACATGTACCTCCACACACCTCCCCACACATCCACATGCATATGAACATGCTTACACACACACACCTATGCACACACCACACATATACAAGAAAGGAAGAAAAGGAATTTTTAAAAATTGGTAAATGGGGGGACCTGAGAGATGGTTCAGGGGTTTAGAGCACTGGCCGTTCTTGCAGAGGACCTGGGTTCAATTTCCAGCACCCACATGGTGGCTAACAACCATCTGTAACTACAGTTCCAGGGGATCTGACACCCTTGTCTGGCCTCTGCAGACACTGCACACTCGAGTATGCGAGTAAAACACTCATACACATAAAAATAAATAAAAATTGGCAAATGGGAGTACCAAGACAGGGAAAAGACAAGCACCGAGGGGATACAGTGCTGAAGTAGCACACATCCGATAAAGGACTTGTGTATAGAATATATAATGAGCTATTACAAGTTGATGAAATAAATCAAACACAATTCAATTAAACTCAAGGAAGGAGCTGACATTTATCTAAAGATAATACACAGATGGCTGATAAAAAACATTTAAAAATACTCTATGCCATTATTCATTAGAAAATACACATCAGGGCTGGAGAGATGGACCAGTGATTAAGAGCACTGGCTGTTCTTGCAGAGGATCCAGGCACTGTCCCAGCACCCACATGGTGGCTATGAGACAGGGTCTCCCTGTAGCCCCAGATGTCCTGGAACTCACTATGTAGACCAGGCTGGGTTTGAACTCAGAGATCCATCTTCCTTTGCCTCCCAAGTGCTGGCTGGCTATCATGCTGGGCCTAAAAACCACTTGTAACTTCAGGTACTGGGGATCTGACACCCTCTTCTGACCTCTGTGGGCATTTCATGCATGTGGTGCATTTATATACAAGCAGGCCAAACACTCATACAAATAAAATAAAATAAATAGAAAACGCAAATGAAAACTAAATATTCTAGTGAGTATTTTCTATGCACTACAATAACTACATTCAAAAGCAAGACAACAATGACTTTACAAGGGTGGAGAAATTGAGACCATTATATATTACCGGTATAATCCAGCAATTTTATTATTTGGTTTTAGCATAATAGAATTAAAAACACACAAGGGTTTGTGATAGTAGTGCATGTCTAGGATCCCGGCATTCAGGAGGCTGAGGCAGGAGAACCTGGAGTTGGAAGTCAGCAGCCTAAGCTTTATAGGGACCCTGACTCAACAAACAAACAACCCTCCAAACAAAAATGAAAACAGAACAACCAACCAAACAACATGAAAAGCTTTGCATGCATGTTCATAACATCCTCATGCACCATAACCAAATATTCAGTAACTGACGGTTGGAAAAACAAAATATGTTACAACCATGGAAAAAGTATGCAGCCCTGAAAAAGAACTGATGAAATTACTAATATATACCAGCATTATGTATAAACTTTGAAAACATTATGCAGCATGGTGTTAGTCACAAACACCATGATATGTGTTTGATATGATATGACTCTAAACATATCAGAAAGATCCAGAATAGGCAAACCCATGGAGACAGAAAATAGATTTGTGGCTGTCTAGAGCAGTAGAGATAAAAAGAAATAGGGAGTAGTTGTAAGTTTTTTGGCCTGAAGGACTTATTTCCTTGTCTTTAGCCTAGGGGGACTGAATTAGGGTCCTTCAAAAATAAAAAAAAATTAAATAGAACCTAATGTTTTCCTTCAATTTTTC